AGCGATTATCTGTCTCTGTAGACCACTCCGAGCAAACGTGAATGACTGGTCATAGGGAAATAACATCAACTTCAACACCTAGAAATGCACAACGCTTACTGTGACGCGGATGAAAACTCCCTTGATTTACGAATACATCCTAAACAACACACAACTTGTGCGAGTGTCCGCGAAAAACGATCTAGGAGTTACAATTACGGGTACGTTGTCTTGGTACTCTCATATATACACCATCACCGCCAGAGACAACAGGCTCCTTGGGCTCCTAAAGCGGACATGTCCATTACTAACTGACGTGTCTACCCGGCGCGCGCCATCCTTATCGCTAGTCAAGTCATAACTCTGCTGCGCTACTCAAGTCTGGTCGCCCGCTCAGGTTTCCCTGAAGGCACATGTCGAGCGAGTGCAGCGGCGCGCTACCAAATGGATCTTACAAACCAGGATTGGCGAGATGTCCTGCAGAGACAGACAGACAGACTTATTACCCTCTTACTCCCTCTTACCTACGACAGAGAACTGAAAGACTTGATATTCTTTTATAAGTGCTTATTTAATCATATTCACCTTGATGTATGCATTTGCTTCAATTCCTGCCATTTGAATTAACAACTTTTTTAACAACTTTATTTGGTTTATAACATAGTACTAACTACACCTCTAGCTTGTAGCACGAGCAAGTTCTAACTAGTGTCTACGTGCAGGGCTAGTCAATGTCAATGTCTCAGGCAGTCAAAAAGTGTTTGTTTGACGAAAAGCTGGAAGGAGAGCGGACGCGAAAAACTAGAAGAAGGAGCAATAGAACAAGAGTAATTCCAAAGTTTCACAATGCCATTTAAGTAGGAGGCCTGAAAGGGGCTCGTTTCACAGATTGGTGTTTTTAAATTAAAGGAGTTGCTTAGTCTACTACGGCCGTGAGAAATAAAGTTTGTGAAACCACGTACCTGTTCTTTCGAATTTCACAAATTGCCTTTATCACGTGTTTATTTCTTTGATAACACACTTTTACAAAGAGTGAAAGAGAGAATGCCGTTAATGAGGGAATGCAGAACTATCATTGGTATACGAGTAATTAAAAAAACTATTGTGGTCAGTTAAACATGTAACAAGTTGTACTTATTCTGCAGCAATCCAATATGAACGAGTTCGCGTACGATTAGTTACACCTTTTCCAACATAAACATGAAATGCACACCGTGAATCTTTTGTTATAATAACAAGATACAAAAGAACAAAAATAGTCGTACAAAATCTAGGTAATCACTCAGTTTTGACACAAAGCTGTATTTACTTAGTAATTTCTCTGTGGCCTAATACAGTGTGAATAAGAAATCGTGAATCACTAGTCATCTTTTCTCGCGTTTTTCATCCATTAAAGAGAAAGCTCAAAAGTCTGATTGGAAATGAGATCTAACGGGTAACTTTTTGAACTTTTTGAAGAACATTCTTTTATCATTAAGAGCGGAATTAAAAGGTAGCAGAAGTGAAGCCTTCAAAACTTTCACTGGACAGGATAGCCCTACCTTATGTGTATTTTACAAATCAATGCCTCTTAGATGCGCTATTTTAGCCGCAATCTGTGCTGTAGACTTCGCAGCTATGTTTAAAGACATTTCCATAACAGCAGGAGACTTAGCCACGAAATCATACCGAATCACGCAAATTTTTTGAATTTATGGAAAGTCCTTGACTTAGCATCACGTCCCGGCAAACCATCAAACAAAGCGTTTCAATGTTTCTCCATGGTCCACAATCCACCTCTGCATTTTGACTTATCATGAACTTTGATCCCTTTTTCCTCTTATATGGAGAGACGGTCGCCCTATTTCGCTTCTTTCGTTTTGGGGATTTTCCCGGGTCAGCTCGAGCTTGAACAATGTTTCCACAATTAAAGCATCTGCAGACTTCGGTGCATCCTATGCCACCCGCTACACACGGACACTTCGACTTGCGGAGACTGTCTTGACACGACTTGTGACTTGCATTTGGTTCTCCGTCCCCTTTGCTCTTTTGTCCAACTCCGCACCTACAGCCTCTCTTCAGACTCTTTTTTACCTTCACAACTTCATTGGAATTGCACGTATTTTTGCAATTGTAACATCTACACGAGCGGGTAC